GGGTAGGGTGAAGTGGGGTAGGGTGAAGTGGGGTGAAGTGCGTAGAATTGGGGTGGGGTGGGTGGGGTGGGGTGGGGTGGAGTGGGGGTGGGGAGTAAGTGAGGTGGGGTGGGGTGAAGTGGGGTGGGGTATGGAGGGTGGGGTATGGAGGTGGGGGTATGGTGGAGTGGGGTATGGTGGAGTGCGGTATGGGTGGGGTGGGGTATGGGTGGGGTGAAGTGGGGTGGGGTACGGTGGGGTGGGGTATGATGGGGTGGGGTATGGGACGGGTGGGGTGGGATTAGGGTTATATACGCATTACGGCTGTAGACAACCTCACACTCCTGGCCCACGGTGCTGGTTGAGGGCCTTACAAAACATGGGGCGCACACTGGCCCACTGAGCGAGCACCTGCAAATCTAATGGTGCCTTAGAGTACCACTTCTGCCTAATTATGCACCAGGTATCTTACCCCCCCAAAAATGACCCTACGGGAACCACAGGTGTATAATTCCGGCGCGGGTTTACGGTAATCTCATTTCAATCAGAATAAACCGGCCCGCCAGTACATATTTGAGAAGCTACTATCACCTGATCTCCCTCGGCTCCCGCCTCATCATAATTACACAACAGGTATCTCTGCTTTAAAAATGTACTCGGCGGGAATCACACATGTATAATTCTGGTGCCGGGTATCGGGGGGGATTTAAGGGCTACGCCAGAGGAACCAAGCCCTCGTCTAGGCGGCTCCCCCCTCCCGATCAGCTGACTGCAATGCGCGCCAAAATTGATGTTCTCCCAATGTTTACGAGTTCCAGAGGTGCCAGCTGACGATTTATTCCCGTAATCTTTAAAGACCTTTATGTCATCTCTGGTGTGGGTGTGTGGACGTTGTGTTGTTGTCAGATACTTGGGGAGACTCAAGGGTTTATGACACGAGATGAGGATAATCACACACACATCCGGGACTCCTCTTATGTCTCGATCATTACTGAGGGTTAGTTGGAAACACTCAAACCTTTTCGAATTGTACACAAAATTATAAGTCTGGGAACTGCAGGTGGGAAGGGATGCGTGTCTTTTACAGTCAACCCTCGCCTAAACGGACCACTAAATCCCACTCACCCACAAGCTAAACTGAAATAGAAACACGGAGGATGATTTCTCCACGACGATGCTCACTGCCACAAGGCGTCCCTGAAGGTGTGGGTAAAGCAAGGGCGGAGGAATAAAGGTGTTCGTGGTAGGCGAGGTTGTGGGGGTGTAGGAGTCGGGAGGCGGGACAGGCGGCCACGAGTTATGGCTCTCTCAGAAAAATATTTGCCTGTGAGTTGAGAGATACGTGTTTTACAGGACGCGGCGACGCTCAACCATCTCGTAACACTTGAAGCGTTCGGAAATATGTCTGTCGGTGGGAGACCTGAAGGATGGGGTCAAACACAGCCTCAATCAATGAATTATGAAAGAAATATCTCTATTTTTTCCACCTGCAATAACACGAGTCTAAAATGCGCAAAAAAAAGTAAAAATAAAATAAAAAAAAGACCCCAAAAGGTAAGTAAGAAAAAAATAGAAAGATTTATCACACTTAAATATATGCTAATTGCCCTTCCTCTTGTCATCTGTAAAATAAGTCACAAAATACGATTCAAAACCCACAAAATGTATATAATTCAATATATATTTTTCTCAAGCGGCCATAATGTTAGAAAATCCATAAAAAAAGAAAGAAAAAAAAAGGCATTGCGGTTCCTAATACGCCCAGTTCAATGTGACGTTTGACCTCCAGCTGAGACCTTGAACTTTCACCTTTGACAGAGAATTCACCTTTGACATAGAGAATTAACCTATGTTTCAGGGCATCTATCTTGACCCCCACCCACCCAGACACCCACTTATACACCCACCCACCCAGACACCCACTTACTACACCCACACACACCCACCTACTTTATACACCTACCCACCCACCCAGACAGACAGAACCAAGCCAAAATAAACCTTAATTCAAATGGCCGTAAGAACGCATATAATCACCCTATAACTACCGATACAATTATATATCTAAACAATACTTACAATAATTAAATAAAAAATATATAATACAAATTTTACCTGAATATAATTATCGATAGAAATAAATTATTGTTATATGTTAATGAAGGGAATATCAACCGTACTAAGATGAATGACAAAATTATACACTTTTTAATATAATCCGTAAATGTAAGATATATTTAACCGAATATAAATTAACAATGAAATTTATATAATTACCTGAGATTCAAGGATGTAATTAAATCCCTGTAATTAGTAGTATATCAATTCTTAGATAATTAGTCATGGAAAAAATTTTACTCACATTAAAAACCGGATTTATTTACCGGACAAAACAAAAAGACAATTTATAAACCGGATGTAGAGAAGAAATGATCTCTCCTCCCCAGAAAAAGCCGGATAAAAAAGTGCCAAAAAAAACTAAATGACTTAAACCGAATGATGAGATAAGATGCTGTTGAGAAGGTAATAATTAACCGGATATAGAGACCATAATAGCAAACTTTAACTATGAGCCGGATATAAAGGAGGAGGAGAGGAGAGGAGGAAGAGGAGAGGAGGAGGGAGGAGGAGGAGGAGGAGGAGGAGGAGGAGAAAAGAAATCAAAATGCCATACTATTTACTAGGTGGGAGAGAGAGAGAGAAGCAGTGGTGTGTAACGGAAGACTCCCTCTACCGTATAACAGAATAATATACAACTCGACTGTAAATATATCGATGACTGCAGACCTTCCCCCTCCCCTCACCTCCCCACCTCCCCCTCCTCTCCTCTCTCTACCGTCTGACGCCGCAGCCTTGGTTAGGTAGGTCATGGTGACGTCTACACATATATCAGCCTTTACCCCCTCCCTCACTGAGTATCTGGGGGGTGGGGAGTGATGTTCAGGGTGGTGGAGTGGGGTAGGAGTTGGGTGAAGGTAAGGGTGAGGTAGGGGTGGGGGTGGAGAATGGATGGGGAAGTGGTAGATGGCAGGAGGGAAGGGGTAGAAAGAATGGGGAGGGGGGAGAGTGGGGAGTGAGTGGAAGGAGGGGGTAGGGGAGTAATATAGCCAGGTAAGTAGGGGAGTAATATGGCCAGGTGTAAGTAGTGGTGTTAATTATAGCCAGGTAAGTAGTGGTGTTAATTATGGCCAGGAGAGTGATGGTGTTAATTATAGCCAGGTAAGTAGTGGTTATTATGGCCAGGTGAGTAGTGGTGTTAATTATAGCCAGGTAAGTAGTGATTGTGTTATAGCCAGGTGAGTAGTGAATTATAGCCAGGTAAGTAGTGGTGTTATAGCCAGGTAAGTAGTGGTGTTAATTATAGCCAGGTAAGTAGTGGTGTTAATTATGGCCTGGTGAGTAGTGGTGTTAATTATAGCCAGGTGAGTAGTGGTGTTAATTATGGCCTGGTGAGTAGTGGTGTTAATTATAGCCAGGTAAGTAGTGGTGTTAATTATGGCCTGGTGAGTAGTGGTGTTAATAATAGCCAGGGAAGTAGTGGTGTTAATTATGGCCAGGTAAGTAGTGTTAATTATGGCCAGGTAAGTAGTGGTGTTAATTATAGCCAGGTAAGTAGTGGTGTTAATTATAGCCAGGTAAGTAGTGGTGTTAATTATAGCCAGGTAAGTAGTGGTGTTAATTATAGCCAGGTGTGTAGTGGTGTTAAAATCTATATCTTCTATCACCAATTATGTCCAGATGAATATATTATTCTAACTGCCAATTCCATCCAATTTATCACCAATTACAGTAATTAAATTCCCAATTAAATTCTTGTATAACAATTGTTTTTTTTTTCACCGGCAGTCATATTTAGATCTATAATTTAATTCCATCGACAATTATATTAATCTCTTGGGCGATTATAGCCAAGTAATTATATTTTCTTTCACCGATAATTGAGGCTTTTTATCGCTAATTATACTGGAATATATAATGTATGTATTGTTGTGATTTCTTATCGTTTGTTATATTGAAGGAGGAATATTTATATTATATTTCCCAGATAAAAACATATGGCAAATATATTTCTACAGTGGTATATAAAGTGGCCCAATACACTATACCAAAAGGTGAGGGGAGGGGAAGGGGGGTGAAGGGGGGAGGAAAGGTGAGGGGAGGAAAGAGGAAGTGAGGTAAGGGGAGGTGAAGGGAGGTGAGGTGAAGGGAGGGGAAGGGAGGGGAGGGGAGGGGAATACAGGTAGCGGGCAAACACAAGTAAAATGTAGGGGTGATTTAGCATTCAGGTGTAGCACGGAGGGTAGGAAAGAACCTATGACCTGCTGGTGAGTTGTATCCTGAATATTGGAGGTGCACTGCTACATCCATGACCCCCTCCCCACCCTCTCCCTCCCCCCCCTCTCTGTCTCTCCCTATCCCCCCTCCCTCCTCCCTCCCCCCTTTCTCTCTCCTCCAACACCCTACCTACACCCATTTCTATTTACCACACAAATCAACCAATCTTTTCTACCACTATACCTCCGCTACCTGCCACAATTCACTACCACTACCCTTCCTCGACCCTCTCTACCACACCACTACCCTTCCTCGACCCTCTCTACCACACCACTACCTTTCCTCGACCCTCTCTACCACACCACTACCACACCCCCCTCGCCTTATTACTGTCACCCACAACTAATATTTCTATCCGGTATTAAAATGTGTCTCTTAACTCCCCCGCCTACTCCACCACATGCTAACCTAACCTAACCTAACCTAACCAACAGATAGAAGAAACATCACAGAGACCACCAGAGACCTTCAGGAGGAAAGTTGACGACTACTTTCAGCTTCCGAGACGACTTTGGCTGTTGGCGACGACCAGTAACACCCTGGTTGATTACACTGACACCCTGGTTGATTACACTGACACCCTGGTTGATTACACTGACACCCAGAACACTGTAGCCCCTGGGATCGAGGCTGTAGCTACAAGAATTCAACTACAGCTACAAATACACTTCTCTGGGGGTACTTACCAAGCCGTCAACCTCCGGGTCGTTCATGAGGAAGGGCTTACGGTCCCTCTCCTGATGCTGAACGAAGGCCTGGATGTCCAAGTTGAAGGAGTCGCTGCTCACCGAATCTGCGCTCTGTGTCGCCAGTTCGCATTTCTCAAACAGCAGAGCCAGCAACGGGAAGAGCGGGTGCCTGCAGACGAGAGAGATGACGGAGTTAGTAGTTGTTATACATGAAGATCAGGAATTTTTCACACACACACACACACACACACACACACACACACACACACACACACAAGGAAAATCACGGTCATAACTCATCCTACCCTAGAGAGGAAATATGACAGCTATTAATTATTGTAATTATTCACCTCAAAACGTGTTCATAGCGAAACCAAAACGCAGTCACATAAGTACCATGATTAATATGATAACTCTGTCTCACAGCCGCCTACACTGACTCATAACTACCTACACTGACTCACACTACCTACACTGACTCATAACCACCTACACTGACTCTCACTACCTACACTGACTCACAGCCACCTACACTGACTCACAGCCACCTACACTGACTCACAGCCACCTACACTGACTCACAGCCACCTACACTGACTCACAACCACCTACACTGACACTCAATCTTCCTCAGCTTCCTCTATCCCACCAGTTCAAATATTCTACTGTACCGCATTGAAGTAATTTTCTTATAACACTTAATAATATATAAGACTTTTCTATAATTTTTTTTTACGATTTTATAACATGTAATGAACACCATATATGAACAGGTGAACATTTATTGAAGAACATTGAACATTTATTGATGAACACTGACAATGACTCTTGACTGAAACAAGTGATTTTACGTCTTATGGGATTCCCCCCCCCAGATCTTTCGTCCCAAGAATCCCCCCTCCCCAACAGGATGCCTCCTCTACCAAGTGCCTCTCTCCCCCTCAACCATTAGAGATACCTTCTCTCACCACCAAATGCCCTCTCCCCCTCCCCAAACGACAGGATACCCCTCACACCAACCAGCCACCCTCCGCCCCAAACCAAGGTCTCCCCTCCTCACTGCAAAGATACCCCCTCTCCCTTCAACAAGATGCCCCCCTACCCATCACCCACCCCATCATCCCTCCTCTTCCACCCTCCACCTCCCATCACCATCTACACCCTGCCCCTCAACACCCCCCCTCACCCCCAGGTAGCAGTCAGCTTTTCTCAAACTTTCTCCCACCAGGTGTTGGGACAGAGTTGCCACCGCCTCCACACACCACAAATTCCCTAAGTCATAGTTCAACCTTCCTTTACCTATGCCAGGCGCCTCTCTCTCCCATGTAAAAAAAAAAAATAAATAAAATAAAAGAAAATCAGGTAAAATTACAATCCAAAGTTAAATTCGTAGGTTAATATATTGAATAAAATTGTTAAATATACTTAAATACATATTAACAATTATTTATATTTCAAATTTTCTTGTTAATTTTACTGCCTGTTGTTATGTTATACACCAGGTTAAGATGTTACACAAGGTTAAATTAACAAACAGTCATTGCACAACGAGTTTAAAAGTAACACACACACACACACACACACACACACACACACACACACACACACACACACACACACACACACACACACACACACACACACACACACACACACACACACACACACACACACACACACACACACACACACACACACACACACACACACACACACACACACACACACACACACACACACACACACACACACACACACACACACACACACACACACACACACACACACACACACACACAATCCATGACTGGCTCTCTCAGTACCTTGCTTAATATCCTGAAATATTATCCAGGTTAAACTCTCAGCTTTTGATACTATTTTCAGATATAGATATATATAGACAGACAGACCGATATATAGATAGATACAGATAGACAGACACAGACAGACAGACAGACACATTTAATTGGTTCAAACTTTTCCTTTCTCAATGGTAATCGGCACACCACTCGACCTCCTTCACTTCCTCAACTGTAAAGCTCAGTACTCATATACATCCTGCCTGGTGGCCTATGAGAACCCTGGGATCGAACGCATGAACCTTAGGCCAAGAAACGAGTCATAACCTCTCATCCACCGCACACCTTCTTGTGCCTGAGTTCTGAGTTTAGGATATTGTATTGTGATAAGAATGACCTATAGCTACTTACGTTAGTCCCAGTGACATAATTTAACATTCTATCACGTTACCTCCTTTCATCCTCGTGTTAAAATAGGTTAAAATATCACCCCGAGGTTAAATTATGAGTCTACGGTATTGTGTGAAGTTTGCCATCATTTATGAGAGGTTTTGACACACACACACACACACACACACACACACAGGGCAAAACAAACCTTTACACTTGCCTCGGTAAACCAGGTGACAATAGTTACCTGGACCAGAATAACCAAGGATATTTACCTTAATTTCTATAAACCTGGAAACCTGAATCGAAGTCTCAGAGGTTCGTAAGAGAAGATATTTCTCCATAACTCATCAAAAAAAACTAATCGAGACAGTCACACTTTATATACGACACACACAGATGGTTCCTTTAATGGGGACACAGAGTTATCATGTGAATGAACTCTATATCCCCATTAAATGAAAAGTAAGCTTAAAAAATCCTGATTAGTCACGAACGACATCCTGAAAGTAAATAAAATCCAAGAATCATGGGTCATGGTTCGTGTTGTCAGCTGTGTGTTTGTTTGTGTTTGTTTGCGTTTGTTTGCGGTTATTGTTGAAAGGATAGTGAGAAGTCTTAAGTGAGGTGAGGGTTTTATCGTTTTGTTTTTGGTTTATTTGTAAATTTTTTTGGAGATAAGGAATTTTGCTAGCGCTCACACACACACACACACACACAAATACCCAAACACGCAAAGACATCTACCACCCCACCCAGCCAGCCAGTCAGCCCTCCCCACCCCACCCACCTGCAAGAAATCGATCACACAACGATGCAATCACACACATGTTCACCTAACCTTCAGTAAATGTCAAAGGTGAAGCTTATAAACGTAATTTGAGGAATGTTCATTAATTACTCCTACCTGAACACAACACCTGAGACGTGTGGTAACTTAAACTAAACATTTACCTTAATTAAACATTACCTGGGGAGAACAAACTAAACACCTACCTTTAAACAAACGATATCAACACTAAATGAGGCGATATAGTTATAATTAATATATGTCGCTTATATATCGTTACATGATAATATTAACTGAATTAGATATATTTGTAATTGTTTTGGATGTTATGATAACAGGTACCAGGTGTGTGTGTATGTTAGTAGGTAACCTCATTAGTAGAGACAACACCTGGTCTGTTACCTGGCGACATGATAGGTCGTTCGGAGTGTAAAATATCCGGCGTGATGGTATTCTTACTTTAAAGACAAATAATGTTAAATAAATACAAGATTTTATACGTTTCACAAAGGCGATAAACGTCACCAAAAATCGTAAGTATAATTCAAAGTGTGAGAAAAACAACTTCCTCCATGGCAGTAACTTTCCGTAACTTACCGGGAAGTACCGATACTCAGTTACTCACCGCCCGACAGTATATTAATGGGGGAAAAAAAAGCTGAAATAATCCACATTTAATTCTGACTTATCCAGTTTTTTTATTTCCTTGTTGTATTTTGTAGTTGTATTTATTTTATGATTTATTAATGTCTTCAGTGAACGAGCAAAAAATACATGTAATATATAAACAAAAAATGGCCATTGTTGTCTTTGAAATGACCGAAGGAACACAACTGATTTTGACCAACTGGTTTAATTAAGAGACATTGTGTCAACCCAGATAAAAACTCAACTATCCAATGGCCTTGTTGGCAATTACCCTCACACACAACAGAACTTTGTCTAGTTCAATTTAACATGAGTTACTTAACATAAACAAAGCTTATGTTTACAAGAGAGATAAGCTTAAACTAACCATGGCATGTTTACTAACACAAACAAACGAATATAAATATTACTCTTGAAAATAAATATTACTGATTTATTTTCCTTTGTCATTTTATCAATCAGAGGGAAAATAATGTTTGAAATATAGTTCTGAGTGAATGTTGATCTGAGTGTGATTTACGGTGGTAGTTAACACAATGCTAACCCCTAGTGTAGAAGCGGTGGGTCCTCCCTAAAAGAGATGTAATACTTTGTCAATTGAAGGTTAAAATGCGTTATTTATGCCCAGAAAATGACCCTTAATACAAGCTTTAACGATGATCACAGTGAGTAAACGTTTGTAATGTGTATGACTCGTGAGTGATGACCATCTCGTAAAATGTTAAAATACTATTATACATGCATCAGGTGTACACGCACGTACACACACGTACATACACACACACGCACGGATATATACACCTACACTCGATATATTCAACGTAATATATACTATCTTATACCCAAGCCCTGTTATCTACTACACCACACCATCCCACCACACCACACCATCCCACCACACCATCCCACCACACCATCCCACCACACCACACCATCCCACTACACCACACCATCCCACCACACCACACCACCACACCACACCATCCCACCACACCACACCATCCCACCACACCACACCATCCCACCACACCACACCATCCCACCACACCACACCATCCCACCACACCCACACCATCCCACTCACACCACACCATCCCACCACACCACACCATCCCACCACACCACACCACCCCACCACACCACACCACACCACCCCACCACACCACCACACCACTCCACCACCACCACCACACACCATCCCACCACACCACACCATCCCACCACACCACACCATCCCACCACACCACACCATCCCACCACACCACACCATCCCACTACACCACACCATCCCACCACACCATCACACCACACCATCCCACCACACCACACCATCCCACCACACCATCCCACCATCCCACCACACCATCCCACCATCCCACCATCCCACCACACCATCCCACCACACCACACCATCCCACCACACCATCCCACCACACCACACCATCCTACCACACCACACCCTCCCTAATGTAAACAATACCTCTGCAACTATACAGACTGTCACTCAAGTCACTACTGTTATGTATTAAGTTACCAAATTAT